ATTTCACCAACTTGGTTTTGTATTTTAAAAGACACTTTAAAATAAATGAAACATATTTGCAAGCAAGCAAATCACACAGAAGGAATTATTATTTGTTTTGAATTTCTGACTTAGTGTAAGTAACTTGATCAACTAATAGAACCAGACTAATTCTATAAAACTCTGAGTATATTTTATAAACCAGTGGTTAGGGAATATTAGGATTTAAAGAGGATCTTAAGCATTTTTATATTCCTAATGCCTTCAATAATTTTAAGTCCTTGAATAAATTTTGCTGAATAATACTTTCTTTCTGTAATGTTCCATTTGTTTATAGGGTTTGGATTATTTTTTTTTTAGTGGTAATTTAAGTGTACATAAAGACAGTATATTTATTACGTCATGCATTTATAAATTTGTATTAAATTAACAAAGTCCACTGTTATATGTCCTCATGGTAGGAGAAAATTCCAAATTTCACTCTGGAGATTCTGCCAAACTTTCCCACATAAAATGAAATAAAGAAGGGCAAAACAACAATCTATAAAGTTCATAAGCATGACAGCTTAAATGGTAGAAACACAAGGATTTTGTCTACACCTGGAAAATCTTGATGTTCTGACTCCATAGTTAACAAGGGCAAAGTTACCTAGGCCAGATCATTGGAACTGGCCATTTTTCCACTGTAAATGAGGAGAAACTCTATGGCATTTTACATTTGCATTTTGAATTCACTTTTTTTTTTTTTCCTGAAGAACATACTCACCAGAAAACTTTGAGTGTTTTGTAGTTGAAGATCAACTGGATCTGTCTATACAGGAGTTGTATGAAGTTGATCCTGTTGTTCTTTGGGAGCCTTTTCTCATATTTTGGGGTACCTCATTTCAAGCAAGAAAGTGTAAACTTCAGATTCAGTGGTTCTCAAACATGATGTTTAACGTTTGTAACCAATAATAAAACGCTAAAGTGTTTTTTTTTGTTGTTTTGTTTTGTTTTTGTACTAGGGATTGAACTCAGGGGCACTCGACCACTGAGCCACATCCCCAGCCCTATTTTGTACTTTATTTAAAGACAGGGTCTCACTGAGTTGCTTAGGGCCTTGCTTTTGCTGGGACTGACTTTGAACCCGCGATCCTCCTGCCTCAGCCTCCCAAACTGCTGGGATTACAGGCATGTGCCACCATGCCTGGCCAGAAGAATTCACTTTTTTTGTTGTTGTTTAAGTATGAATTAGATGGGCTTCAAAGTTGGCCTTAGTGCAATGTCATTCCAATCCTCTGCATTAATACCCTCCTTGAGCAGGAAAGAGGGAAGCTAAGATTGCCCATACAGGAAATTTCTTATTAATGCTTGACAAAAGCCTGGAAATGTCTCTTCTATTTCTGTATCTCACAGAAATTCATACGTTGAAACCTAATCCCCACTGTGGTAAAAAGTTGGAGTCTCTGATGGGTGATGAAGTTTTGAGGGGGGCTCTCATGAATGCTATTAGCACCCGTATAAGACACCTGGGGGAGCTTGTTCATCAATGCCCTTCAACCATGGGAGCCCACAGCAAGTTGGCATCCAGCAGAGAAATGCCCTCACCAGACACTAAATCTTCTGTTGCTTTGATCTTGGACTTCTCAGCTTTCACACTTTAACGTATACATTTGCTTTGTTTAAAAATTGCCTAAAGTTTTTTGTTATAATAGCCCAAATGTATTTAACAGAAGTCTCACACATGTGAACACCTCCCAAGTTTTGTGTACTGTGATGGAAAAGAACCTGATGTGATTCTGCAATCTGTATTTGGGGTAAAAATGGGAGTTCATAACCCACTTGAATCTAATGTATGAAATATGATATGTCAAGAGCTTTGTAATGTTTTGAACAACCAATAAAAAAAAAGAAAAGAACCTGATAAAGTTGCATTATGCAACTGATTTGCTTCAAAACACAAGGACAAATAAAATCTGCATAATTTCTGCTATGGTGAAAGTCCATTTATCAAGGGTCAGAATAGTCCCAAAGTATTGGTCAAAAATGCCTTTGGTAAAGAAACCTATTGTGGACCTGACCAGCACAAATCACTATTATTTTATTCTGGACACACAAATATGTGGCAAGTCTGAAATTAAAAGATTATTATTATATGGAAGGTATGTGGTTGTTTTTAAAGAGGGAGCTAAAGCCTTAGTATGGCTAGGTATGCAGCAGTGAGGGGGGCAGTGCTGTCACAGGTAAACCAAGCGAAAAGCAAAAAAGGATCATTTCCATTGAAGATCTTTTGTCCAACAAGAATTTCCACCTAGGGGCATAGCAAGGTCGGTGTTGAATACTCATTTCCTTGGTGCATTTAGATTTGTATTTATGACCAGCAGTCAGGAAATGAAGGTATATCATATACAATCTTTCGATCATTTTACTTTTTAGGGAGTTGAAAAATAAAACTTAAAAAGTTGACTGTGAAATGGCTTGGTTTAATTCCTTGGCTTGCCTTAGGAGAGCATTCAGAGAAAAGATTCCAATTTTTGCTGTACTGACATGAACTTAGGTTGTATCATTTTTTCTGATGATTTTGATTGAACTAATTAGTATCTAATTGACTAACCCATCAAAACAATCAGTTACAGGAGCTGGGAGTATGGCTCAGTGGTAGAGCACTTACCTAGCATATGTGAGGCACTGGGTTTGATCCTCAGCTCCACATAAAAATAAATAAAATGAAGGTATTGTGTCCACCTATAATTTTAAAAAAAAGGTTATAGTTAAGGAACTAAATTTAAATCCTTAAACTATGCATGGGGAGAGATCTTTAGTTTATGAAACAAGGCACACTATTTTTCTAAAGTAATAGGAACTAAGAATGCAATAAAATCTAGAAAAGAAAAAAAATTATTCCAGTTCTTCTATGTTATATTGACTTTATAAACTGACTATTATCTAACTCTAAGAAAATGGTGTCAGAAATTAGAACAATACGTACCAGGTCAGAAAACTTTCTACAATGAGCCAGACAGTAAATATTTTAGGCTTTACAGACAATATAGTTTTTTGTTGCAACTACATAATGCTGTAGTTATAGTGTAAAAGCAGCCCTATGTAAACTAATGGTGACCTTGTTCCAATAAAACTTTAGACATCAAAATGTGTGTTCCTTTTTATTTTTGCATGCCATGAAATATACTTTTGAGTTTTTTTAACCACTTAAAAATGTAAGAATCATTCTTAGTTCACATGTCAAAGAAAAATAGACAGGGGACTAGGAGACTGGGTGTGGTGGCACACGTCTATAATCCCAGTGACTGAGGCAGGAGGATTGAAAGTTTTGAATCAGTCTTGGTAATTTAGTGAGACCCTGTCTCAAATAAAAAATAAAAGGGCTGGGATGTAGCTCAGTGGCAGAGTGCCCCCGGGTTCAATACTCAGTACAAATAAAACAAAACAATACTAGTAACCTAGATTTGGGCCTAAGTTTTCTGATCCTTGCCTGGGACTAACAGAGCATGAGTTGTAACAATAAACTGTGAACTTTGAGACATATCAAGAATGTCAGTGTTTATTCACTCTAATTAAAGAGTTGAACACATCATCACCTAGGTACCATACTTGACATAAAAGTTCATCCTGAGGGGCTGGGGATATAGCTCAGTTGATAGAGTGCTTACCTTGCATGCACACAGGCCCTGGGTTCAATCCTCAGCACCAAAAAAAAAAAAAAAATCATCCTGAGTTTAATAAAGAGGTTCTATGTAAATTGTGCATCATTCCATAAAACTGGCATGGACTCTTCAGTAATGTCAATTTTATGAAAGATAAAAGAATAAGATTTGAGACTAAGATTAAGAAGACACAAAACCTTTAACATGTGATCTGTTTTGGAGCCTGGATTAAGACAACTGAAAATGAATATTATTTGGGCATTTGGAGAAATTTCAATATGGATTATCAGACAATATTATTGTATCAATATTATATTTCTTGAGTGTGAAGATAAAATTGCAGACTTGTAGAAAAATGCCCTTGTTCTTATATGATATATGTTGAAGTTTTCACAGATTTGTGTGTGTGTGTGTGTGCGCGCGCGCGCGCGCAGAGAAAGAGAAAGGAAGTAAATACTACTACCAAATAGTAACAATAAATGAACCTGAGTGATGAGTGTGCAAATGTCATTGTAATAGTCTTTCAATTTTTCTATAGGTTTGAAATTATTCAAGATTAAAAACTGGAAAAATTAAAATAGAAAAAGGAGATAAAGCAGTAAATTTAGTTGGTTCAAATGATATCTGAAATAGAAAAATCATGATACTTGAAAAATCACTTATTCTTTAAAATTCCAAGATACTTCCAATTTCATTTGGACATTAAAGCCATTTTACTTGTAAGAAATAGCTGGGTCATTTCATTCTGTATTGATATTTTCACCTACTTTGTTCCAAGAAATTATAGAACAGATAAAACCTAAAATGGATGAGACAAACATAACAAAGTCATCAAACTTAGATTATCCAAATCTCTAAATTTAGACTGTTTTCTTGTTGTTGTCTAAAATGCATATTTACTCAGGATCCCGAAATCTGAAAAACACTTTCTTTTCTATAATTAAGACCACTGTACTTCTTCTAAAAGTCAGATCTAAATAGTTTTGTATACTACCTTGCTCACCAGATTTTTGAAAATGTAAAAAAAAAAAAAATTGATGAGAAACAAAGTAAATGGGGTCATCATTTAATTTGGAGAAAAGTCATAATCATTTCACTCAAGGATATGAAAGGCTCTTTCAAAAGAAAGTCTGTAAACCCTTTGGAGATGGAGACCATGTGTTAGTTACCTTTGTGTACCTGCTGCCAAACACAGTGCCTCATAAAAGTAGCCATTTGAAGCGTGTGGGTTGAATGACTGAATGACTAAATGGATGAATAAGTGGAAGAGGACCCTGTTTTATATGGATCCAGGGACCCTGTTTTATATGGATACAGGTTGTGTTTGTTCAATGTAAAGAAAAGATTCAAGATGACTCCAGCACTGGACTGGGCCACTGAAGGAAATTCTTATTTATTCACTTATTTATTTGTTTATTTATTGAAATTTACAATAATAGAATAAACATATATCTTGAATATATTTTTAGAGAAAACTTAGCACTTAAATGTTCAGATAGTTTTCTACATGTATGATGATGAAGACAGTTCCTTGATTTCAAGGATTCTGTTAACATTCAGTCAGGTTGAAATAAATCTGAAAATCATGACATATGAAGGGCAGTTGGAGGAATAGTGGTTGGGAGAGAATGAGTAACTGGCCTCAATTATGGTCAGGGTTGCCATGAGAAATAGGGAGCAGATACTCTAAGTTGCCCCAGGACCAGTAAGCAAAATTAAAGACAGGGCAGGGGGGAATGTACACACTTTAGCAACCAAAGAAAGAACATTCTAACAAAGAGACATACCCATCCCTAAAACAGTTTGCCTTAACAGATAACAAACCACTGTCCCTGGAAGATATACAGGCAGAATTTGTGTGGCTGTTTTTAAGGGTAACTGGGGAGACAGCATCTATGCAAGATGTAAAATTGAGGCTCTTCCATCTCTTCCAACCAGAAAAGGCATTGTTCAATAAGCCTAAAAGTCAATCTAAAAATTTGGTGTTAATACTAAACAGATGATCAGTAAATACTTTGAACAACTCAAGGTCTTTTATGAGCATGTAAAGAGAACATCATGGTCAATTCATTCTTTGAAGGTTTTATCAATAGATGCAGACTTGACATTAGTTACTACCCAGGAAAAATTTAGGTTTTCTCAGAATGTAAAATAATACCATATTCCAACAGAGGTCCAAAATACTCGTAGGTATTTCAAAGACTCTAGGATTTGTTCTTTCTCTACATCCCAGGCCACTATCCCTGTGTACTCTATCATGTCTCAAATCTAGCATATTTACTATAGCTGCCTCCTAACTAGACAATCATCTCTAATCTCTTTCCTCTGTAATCCTTTTGAATATAGCAACTAGATGTCTGCCTAACACCCCTTTGGAACAAATGACTACCTATTCAAAAGCCTACAATGATTCACTCAGAATTATGTATGGAAAAGATTAAAAGTGGACATAAAATACAAATATTTATTGAAGTGGGAGAATTACAAATAAGTAGTGTTCTTGGTGCAGTGCTAATAAAGTTCTGATTATAAATAAAATCAGGTGAAATCCAAAGAATCTACAAGGTTTCCTTACCTCCTAGCATACTTCATACAAAAGCTCCGATTTAACTTTTTAGAAGACCCTTCATTAAATCCTCCCATTAGGCCTTTTCTTCTATTATCCTTGCAATAAAGCTCCACTATTTTCTTGTCTTTCTGCTCTCTCTTTATCCTGTTTCTTCCTCTGTGTCCCTCATTGCTACGACTTCACTTGTGCCTCTTTCACTATTTGCTCTCTTCCTCACCTCCAGGACAACTACTGAATGTTGTCTGGATGTTCACTTTGTCTCTACCCTAGGTAAGCTTCCTCAGGGCAGGGCCTAGTCTGTTTGTTCATAGATGCATTCCCTGAATCTAGAATAGTGCCTTGCAGATAAAAGGTATTAATGGATTATGTGTTAAATGAATGATTGTCATTTCTGTGACTACATGAACCCATAACATTTTTCCCTTTCTGAAATATGATATAAATTGACTATATATTGTGTGATTTTATATTGCATTATATCTTTTTCTAGTTGTGTACATGTTTTAATGTAGTTCTCTCAAAATGAAGCGATATGTCATCCATGTTTCCTAATTTGATATTCCAATTTAAGAAAATTTTATTGAATACCTACTGTGTGTCAGGCACTTTAGTAGGAATTATTAAATAAATTAAAAACTGCATTTAACAAGCATTAGTAAAGACCAAATGGAATACTTCTCTGCTGATTTCTTTTACACAAAATAAATATACCTGAAATCTATAGTTTAAATAAAAATAATAGTCAAATTTTCTATACTTTTCTGCCATCTTTCTATCAAATCCACTTGAAAGAATTATTTAAAATAAATTAGACATACAAGATATCCTGAAATCCAACATTAAACCATTAATGATATGTGGAAATAAAATTAGTATACATTTTTATTGGTTTAGGGGAACTGGCCTTTCATCATTTTTTGTTTCAAGATCTTTATAGTGGCCAGAAAGATTTTGAAAATTGTGTAGGTTTCATGTCTAGTCTGTAATTCAAGTAATTTTATGCCTTCTATGCAATCTGGATATTTTGGAAGCTGCTACATGTTATATTTTTCAGAACCAGATGAAACAATTTGGTAAAGAACACAGGTAGAAGAGATCACTAATTTTCCTTTTCCCCCAATAAACTATTTTTATTATGCCAATTTTAATTACCATGCAATCTAATGGATTTAAGGCTTATATTTTCCACATCACTAGACATCACAAACATGAAAGCATTTTATACTGTCATTATACATCAATGTTTGTACTTGGTTATACATATATACAGAAATTATTCACACATCTTAACCTTGCTATTTCCTCCTTTCAAACTAACATAATTTTACCATGAAAGCAGCTTTTTAATAAATGGTATAAGAAATACAGCAAGGCACACTTTTTTAAAAAACATTTTTTTTCTCATTACCACCTCAAGAAGCATAAAAAAACAAAAATGTTGTACATAATTGAATAGTAGAGTATCACCAGTTTGTAATATACAACACTGTTATAGCTGTGTCTTGAAGTGCTGCATAGATTATTATTAAAATGAAATAAATAGAATGGTGCTTTTAAAAATTATTTAATTTTGAAAATTACTTAATTTTGACCAATGTTTCTTCTCTATGCTACAATCAAATCAAATGTTGATGTTTTGGGTAAACCTCTTTCAATAAACATAGGCATCATATCATTAAAAAAAAAATCCAGATTGAAACATGAAATTGGTCAAGTACTGGCAGGGATGTCATTCCAGACGGTGAATTTAATGGACCATCAATTTGGTGAACTGCAGAACTTCAAAGAATGGATAGAGAGGGAAGGAGGCAAACAGAAAAGTCTCACTGGAGAGAGAGGGTTGGTAGAGGTAGCTTGGGACAGGAATCCATGGGAGAACAAGCAGCTTTGCTGAACTTCAAAGACGATCACCTAAAGAGAACCAGTGCACACATCCAGATCACAAGGCTCATGTGGACAAACTGCATTCAGAAGAAAGATTCATCTTGGGAAAGTCAATGTGACAAAAGGCAGTGACAACATGATGGAACCAGAGATCAGCCCAAGGCGGGAGGATGAGGCCAGCCCTGAGTTGCAGCCATACTATCTACAAGAAAGAAGAAAGTGACAAGAGAAGGTTTCAGAAATGTTTTTCATTTGCAAAACAAAGCCCTTTGAGGAATCACTGAAGGTTGCCATTTGGGGACTACCCGATAATGCTCTGAAATAAAATAATGATTTTAATAGCCCAAGGTTCACATTACTTATAAAAAAACACTTTGATATAGATGTGAGAAATGCATTTGTTTTTGAAAAATGACATGATTTCAAAGAAAATAAAACTCAAGTTTGACCTTTTCTCTGGATCATCCACTCTTTTGCAGGTGAACTCAGTTTTAAATACTCATGATTGCTTCAAATCTGTATGAAAATGTGAGGCAGCAGTTACTAAGTGATTCAGCAAAGTATTACCAATGATTTGGAGACTGAGAGCATGGGCTCTCGGGTTTAACCCTTCCTTCAGTGACTTTATGTGTGATATTGAACAATGTCAATATTATATAGAGGTGAAATATTTATAACATTGTGATAATCCTAAATGTTTTAGCCTCTTGTCTATAAAAGGCTAAAATTAGGATTTCTAACTCAAATATAACACATTTAATTTAAGATACTAACAGCACTGTAGAAATGAAACCGATTCAATTAGTTTTGTACATCTGATGGCTGATGCAAATTTGTTCTAACAGATTGGAACAGATCAAATGTGAGGAACATCGAAATTCCAGGTTTAGGTGGTAACAGGATGCAGTTACTTTAGGTCTACTTTAGGTCCTTGGACCAGCTCTAAAATAAAGCAGGCTTTTGCTTGTCTGAGTTTAAACTAAGTTCTAAAGTCTGATATTTGCTGTTTACTGCCCCTCTAAAACTAACATGCTCATTCTCTGTCTTGTTCTTGCCTTCTTTTTTCTACAATCTTGCAACTTTTATGAGACCAGAAAAACTTTTAACAAAAAAGTGGTTTGGCTGAAGCCACAGGAAGTTGGGGACAGATAAAAAGTTAACAGGAACAGGGGAAGACAAACAGACAGGAACAGATGGGACGGGATTTGGTGCAGTAAAATAATCAGTAACTCAAGAAAGCACAGTACATTGTTCAAACGCTGAGGACATGACTCATCTGAAATTGGCTACTGAGTAGGGAATCCTTAGGTGAGGCAAATCTGGTCTTACTAAAAGCTGGCATTTAAATTCTTTCTGGATAATCAATTCTTTCAAGTTGGCCTACTTGGAAACAGTCAGACCAAACTGGCTAAGGCACAAATCTGGTGTGTGTGTGTGTGTGTGTGTGTGTGTGTGTGTGTGTGTGTGTGTGTGTGTGAGAGAGAGAGAGAGAGAGAGAGAGAGAGAGAGAGAGAGAGAAAGGCTATGTCAAATAAAATCTTTGTTATTTACCATGGCAGGGCTAGTTATTCAGAAGTTCTAGGTAATTGAAAATCATATCCAGCAGAACCTTGATTTATTAAAGCGATTTTAAAGGTAAATCTGATAAGATTATACCTATATTGTCTAGTGAAAAAGTAATACACAATCCCCAAAGACAGTTTTTTAAACTGCTTGACCAGCTTTGGGAAATATCAAACACTTAGCGTCAACCCAATTAAAAGAATGAGAATCTGTGCTGTGTACATTAGGAATGTTTGCTCTTACAGCTTTCTCAGTTTTTAAAAACTGAGCAACAGCATTTTTAACTGTATATATAAGCTGAGTATTCATAACTACAAATAATTTCCTAAAATCTAAAATCTATAAGCTACCAACTATCACATTTACAGACCAATAAAGTAGAAAAGACAATAAAACTAAAAGTGCTAAAGGAATATACGTATTGTAAGTAAATACAGCTCCCTGCCTCATCTTCAAAACACATGCATGCATTAAAAACACACAGGCATACACAGATGTACACATACAAAATCCCTAAACCACCAGAACAAACCAAAAAGAAAAAAAAAGTACATACTGGCTGCATGCGATGAGTTAAATTTTTATACCACAGGGTTTATCCAGCCTGAAGTTTAGGGTTAAACCATTCATCAAAGATCAGAGGCTTATGATGAGGATTATGAAGAAATAACTGTCAGAATACAGCAAAAAGATTAGTGCAAAGTACATCTCTTAGGCAGGTCCTAGGAGGCACTCTAGACATACATTATGTGCTTTCCTCCAAATTAGGCAGAAAGAGCTGGATCTATCCAGTTACCTTGCCTTTGATGTGATTTGCTGTAACTGACCTCTCTATTTTTATAGAAACATGACACATAAATGAAAATAGTGAAAAGCACAGCAGTGTGCCTGGAAATCAGTGCAAATGCACACTGTTAGATCACGTTAAAGCTTCTCAAACAGTTTCAGTGGGTTTTTAATTAGAACACAGTAAATAAAAACCTTTTCTAAGATTTTTGGGAAAAAAATTGTGTTTCTGTTACAGACTGTATTCTAAGTTATATCTCTTCTGGATGGAATTATAACCATTTATTTCTGATCATTTCATCAGAATTTATTTTTTTTTTACTTTAAATCAAAATTTATACCTGGGGAGAAAACCCCAGCAAATTGAATTTAGTTAATTTTAGAGTCTAGAAAGAAAGAGTACCCAAAGTGGTGATTTTCAAATGGCTTTAAAAAACAGAGCTTTTTCTCTTGCTTTTTTTGAATCTTATAGAAAGAACAATAACAACAAATAAGCTCCTATAGTCATGAAACCTCATATTTCTCAAATATCTTCATTATGTATTCCTCACATTAAATTCTGAAAGCTGGTCAGTATTTTCAGATTAAATAATGTGTCCTGGTTGACAGCACTTTAACAACATATGAATATTGACATCCAAGTGCCTAATGCTAATGATGGGAAAAATTCGGGCCTCCAGATGTTTTGTCCACATGAACTAAAAACACCAACACCTGAATAGGACCAGTAAACTGAGCTATTCAAATTGCTCTAGACTGATAACAAGTCACTTGGGGGCGATGTAAGTTCTGCAGAAGTAAAATTTGGCTGCTTCTGCTTGTGTCCAAGATAGGGCCATTGCGTGGGCTCAACAAAATATTGCTGACTGGCAGGTAGGCAGACTGGCAGATATCTGTTCCTGCTTCGTATGTGTGAGGACTACACAGATCCATCAGCACATTCACTTTCCTCAAGCCTAGAGATGGAGCAGCTCATCATTTACATTTCATTTCAATTCTATGTCTATGTAAGGCAGAGAAGAAACTCCCAGAGGATTGAAAAGGGAGAGAGTGTCCCAGAGGCTTCTCCAGTGCCAGAGTTTCTCCTGCTCCGGATCTCAGCATGACTGGTGACTCAAGGGTCACAGTCACATGATGTCATGCTCAGAGTGGTGTTGCTTTCAAGCCTTTATCCTCATTTAGCAAACAAAATCAGCCAGGCTCTACCAACCCTTCTGCAAGGTTGGCAGAACCCACAGTACAATCGGTTTTAATAGAACTTGTTTTGAAGCCGCTTATAGAATTGCAGTTACTCTCCCTTAATGGTCAGTTTTACTGCATATGGATAGAGAATGTGATTATAGGGTGGACACGACTTGCAGAAAATACATTTCTCTCCCCTATTTTTGTTCTCACTTGCAGCCAATTGTAAATAGAGTCTGAAATACAGAAAATTAGTTGAGCTATATTAGTAAGTAGGATGCTTTTCTTCAGTTTTGCATATTGAGTTTATTTTTAGGGTATATATATGGTATAGATTCCCCCCTCTCTCCCCATTTCTAGCAGCTCTACACAGAATCACACATTTTAATGAGCTTAGGGCACAGGTGTTGCAGGGAAAAAAAATAATGATGTTTGCCATTCATCTTTCAAATTAAATAATGTGTTTTTAAATAGTAACTTTTTTCATAATACATTATGGGAACAACATTTATCTGTCACATTTTAAAAGATGTATTTGTAATAAATGTAAATTACTTTTAGAAAATCAGTAATTAGGCTCATCAAAAAATAAACAATCTGCCACAAAAAAGATAATCTTTAGCATAGTTAAGTATAATAACTGTTATTTGAATAAGTTAACAAATTAGGGTAGATTGCTTCTGTAATTCATTTCCTATAGCACGAGTTTAGGTTACAGCATTAGGCTTCTGGAGTAGGGGGTGGAGATGGCATTAGGCACCTCATACTTTGGTGAAATATGACTCTCACATTTGAAAATTTTCTTCTTTAAACTTGATTGAGAAAGCATATTCATCATTGGGGCTTCGAAATGGGAAATAACAGAATCTTTGTGTCACTTTTAGAGATACATCATCATCTCAGAATTATCAATCAATAGCTGTCTTATTAAATATGAAGAGTAGAATGACTTTCTTAAAAAATTTGATGGAAATCAGCCTGTCACCTTCAGGCAAAATTCAAAAATTCTGTTTTTATCAAGACGCCATTAACTTGTCACGTATTCTCCCTGCATTTGCTTTCTCTGCCTATTCTCAATCTGTGTGTGGATAAATAAGACCCTCTTCTTTAACATCAACGTCCCCTCCTGTTTGAATTCGCAGACACAGCCATGATTAGAAGCTGTGACAGCATAGCCTTCTACTAGGGAAGCAAATGTGATGATAGCTCCATTAGAGGGAAGCATAAGAGGGAGGCCCCAGGTAGGAGCTTCAGCCCTTAGCCTGCTCACTGCCTAAGTTCAGGCACTGGAGGGAAGCGGCAGCTGTGAACGGGGAGTCCAAGTCGGGGGTGATACATTTTGATGATGGGGTATAACTGAAATTTGGATAACTCTTTTTGAGGTCCTAAACTGCTCAGCTACTTCCTCAAATTTTGTATTTTTCTTGCCAGAAAGATGGAATAAAGATAATGTCACTAAAAATGTCAAATCTTCACTATTCTCCCCCTTTTTCTTCAGTTACTTTCATTGTTGGAATTATTCCTTCTCCCTAACTGCCTCATTCAGATAAATATCTCCCATGATTGGTCATTCTGACTAGCCTTTTCTTCTTTTATGATTTGTTGTTGCCTACTCATATTTTAAACATATAAATGGAACGAGGACTGATACATACCTTTCTATGAGATGATTTTCATGCTCGGGGAGGGCACTACATTCTATCTATGCATATTTGTATGTCGTTCTTCATGAAAGTTTAGAAGATTTTCTCTGCAGGTTAGGGCCTTGGGGCTGGGATGCAATGCAGTCTTGTCTTTGGGCTTATTCACCTTCAAGGACAGGTCTTGAACTTTAGATTTGGCTGAAGCAGCATCATGTTCTGGCATTCCGGACTCACCTGGTTTTCCTGAACTCTCCTTTTCACCACCTAGCCTTGAAGGACTAATCGCTGAGCTTTCTGCATAGCCAGTGGATGTTTGGGGAAAATCACATACTTCCTTTCCAGAGTTGGCTCCTTTCTGCAGGGGAAGACTTGAAAAAGCCACTGTGTCTGCATCAGCCACGGAGGGAGAAACATCACTGAACTCAGCACAGCTTGCTGTTGTTTGTATTGGCACCGCAGCTTCACTGGGAACTGCAGATTCATTCGGAGAAGGACTAGAGAAATAGGGCTCCTCTCCTTCAGGGTCATCCTCAACACAGGCCTCAAAGAAGCATTCGATGTCCTCTTTGTCATCTAAGCCAGAGTCGATAGCATCTAGTGGCAATGGAGTGTTGCTCTTCTCTTCTACGTAATTGGTGACCTCCCCACAATCACTGTCATGAGATGAAAGAGACAAGTAGGAATAAAAGTCCCCTTTTCTCAGCTGGATGGGCCGGTGAGAATGTTCTAACACCTTCTCCTTGATTTGAGTTAATGAAGTGGGAGCAGCCTCCTCGTTTTCAGGTTGAGATTTACTTTTTAGGGCAGTGGAAGCCATGTCAATGATTTCCTTAACAAAGTCATGTACTGAACAATCTTCAGCATCTTTCTGATGGAAAACATCTGGCTCACAGTGGCAACAGGAAGTGTTGTCGCTGATAGAGGCATTTTCCTCTGTTTCATTTTGTTCAAGTGCTAGGCAACAACTAGCAGATTTTCCAGCCTCACTTGGTGCATCATTAGATGAAGATTCCAGTACATCACAGTCTTGTCTGTTGTTAACTCTGGTTTCTGAAGCCAGTTCTGGGCAAGACTTCTCAAGGGGAATGCAATCAGCAGCTTGATTTTCAAAATGGTGGCGATTTGGACATTTCTTTGGAGGGTGTCTGCCATTTGGGGGAACAAATTCCTTTCTACCAATATCTGAATCCTCTGAACCATCCACAAATGCTTTACACTTACAGTGCTCACTTTCTGAAGACTTTTTCCCATCTGAACCAAGATTCTCTGGTTCCTTTGAAATCCCATTCACTTCATCCTTTTGCCTTTCTGGAGTACTTTCAATATTGCCATTTTCCATGTCAGCCACATACGGATCTTTACTAACTTTGAAAATATTTTTCTTATTTTCACCCTTTGTCCCTAACTCATGTGTATGAGATGAATTCTTAGCATTTCCATTATTTTCAGGGAGACATTTTATGGAGCCATTTAGAAGGGCCTCAATGTTTAGGGTATCAGAGGGATTAGTTGTTTCACCACTGCTTACATCTTTACTGCCCTTTATATCATCACTGAGATTGCACCGTTTCTTATCTTTTGTCAAGGAAAATTTTGGCCTAATCCAGGTCTGCAATTCATTCTTTATATAATCCAGCCCTGACATCAGGTTGCATTCTTCATAAATTTCATCATCCGTGGCAATACTGGAGTCATCTTCATCTTTGATGCACAGTTCTTCTTCAGTCAAGGTGAGTGTAGAGCTGGAGAGGAGATCACTGTCATCTTCATCGTCAGTGCAAGCAGAGGTACAAGAAACATTAACGATCATGCTGACATTCACGTCGCTTTCATCAGCCACAGAATGATTCAGGCGCTTCCTGAAGGATGCATTTGATTCCGGGATCTTGTTCTTGTGTAACACAATATCCTCTGAGCAAAGAGAGACTTCATCACTGCTACTAAGTTCTGTAAGAGATGCCGCTGAGTCTTCATTGATAGAAGATGCTATGTCTAATGACATCTGGCCAGCAAAGGACATCTTTTGGGAACTGCTCTGGAGAGTGATATCAGAAACGCTTCGTTTTATCTTTTGCTCTGAGGGACTCTGAATATTCTCCAAACGATTCAGGAGATCTAATGTCCTTTTACTTAGTTCACCAACTGAGCCACTGCTCACACTTAGGTCCCCAGAGCTGTGACAGCTAAAAAGATCTTCATTGCTTTTATAGGATGTCAACCAACTTTCTAAAGAAGTGCTTCTCTGGAGGCTGTCACTACCATTTTTAAAGATGCCCAATCCAAATAAATCACCCCCTGGAGAAAGGGACTCAATAGATGAACTACGAGATAAAAGGGAGAGCTGTTTGGCATTCTGAATGCCAGTAAACGTCTTCTCTATATCGCCACTTTTATATGAATTGCGACCCATTTCATGGGGTGTACTTGCCAAAATCCTTTCATGGGGAGGTGCATCTGGTTGCAACTCTGAAGCTTGATGTTTAGATTTGCAGGATTTTTTATCAAAATAAAAACCACGAAGAAGGGGATCTTCCACATGTGCCTTTTCACTTTGTGACTGTTTCATTATCATTGGTAATTTGAGTTTTGAGCCTTGGAGGTACGAGTAATCATAAAATGTAAACACATCATGTTTTCCTTGTAATTCTTCTCCCAAACAATCAGGGGTATGTTTGGTAACACTGTTTAAGTCTCCAACTTTTCCATTTACACAACTCACTGGTGAAACGGATGAGTGAGAGCTATTTGGGAGCTTATTGCATTCCTCCTCATCTTTAAATTTTTGCTTTAACATGTTAACTGCGTCTCCCACTTGTGTGTCCAGATGTTCGGTTTCAGGGTTACTTGGGGACCTATCTCCCACATTGAGCAAGTACATTTCAGAGTTGGTAGTCACTTCAGTGTCTCCTTCACTGACGATTCCACTCTCACTGCCAGAATTCTGGCTCATGTCTCCACTGTGGCATGGGCAGGGCTTCATCAAGTTGGAACTACCTAAAAGATCTGGCAAAGATTTGGTAGATGAAAATGAAGAGTCTTTACTGAGACTCTTAGTTAAAATACTAGGCTGTGTCATGCCAGTAAACTTTGGATTGTTTTTTAGAAATGGTATGTGGCTGTCATCATAGAGTTCAACATTGTGGAGGCTATATACTTGGTAAATGTGTGGGCTGGGGGGTGCAGTGATATTTGAGGCATACTGAGATCCCCCATGGTCTCCTGCCTCCTCCTCATAACCAGGGTCCTCACTACTTGTCTCTTCAAGCTTCGATGAAGGCATGACAGATTGGGGTTCTTGATCAAGGTCATTTGATTCTTCATTTAAACTAATTAACTTGTTGCTTATATCTGTTTCATCCCATTCCAAAGCATCTTCACTCATTCCGTTTAGGTCCATCAAGCCGGGATCAATCACATTCAAAGTCTCCTGTGTAGGAAGAGAGGGAGAAAAAAGAAGAATTAGGGAATATAAATAGGAAGATTTTATCCATTTGAAATCTCTTGGAAGAGTCAAAAAACTGCCTGAAGCATGGATTTGAAAGATAGCGAAACTATCACCTCTGCTTCTCTCTGGAATAACATCCCCGAATTACTGAAATAGGTTTTTCTATCAATAGTAATTTGTCACTGAAGGCAATAACATATATTAAAATGTTAAGATTATTAGAGTCAAATTGTAATTTATGGAATTAATCATTTCCTATTGATTCTTCTACATTTTAAATCTTGGATTAAGTGAAGATAAAACTGTCAGGTAGATGAAAGTAAAAAGAGCACAGTCTATGATATCTGCTCAGGTACATTCACCCTCATATTATTTTAGTTTCTAAGCCCATAGTGGGATACCTGCAGTCACACATGGCAAATTCCCTTTACCTCTATTTCTAGGTTCTCCAACTTGACATGGTTTTTGCCTACAGAGCTAGTTATAGCCACCATAGAGGTCCATTTATGGACCTGAGGCTTTTGACTGTCCATCCCTTTCCCTTCCTTCCCTTTCAGGGCTATATGCCTCTTTAGAACTTGGCACTGCTCCCAATCAGACCCAAGGTGAACAACAATAACTGGTTTCCTCACACGTTTCCATGAACCCTAAGTGTTCTAGGGAAGTTCCTTGATCACAGTTTTCTCAGTCCCTCTTTCTTCAGTCTGTCTTTATGGCGGAGGTTCCACTTCTGTCCTTGTTCTGATCTCACTATGGTTAGTCCTGACCTCTATTTCTTATAGGCAAGACTTTCCCCTTCCTGCCCATTTTCAGCCCCAGAATAATAACCTTCTGAAGACTTTCTTGACTCCCAAGGATGCAGAAGCCCAGATCTCCTTACCCTGCTCTCTGTCACCCCATTTGGGATAAATTTTGATCTTCCCTTGAACTTCTTGGTTTTTTGCCCCTTCTTAGGTAGAACTTGATGCATTCTGGGATAGAGTAGCTGGACAGGCTCCTGGATCTTGATCAGATTCCTTCACCATCTTAACTTGCTATCCAGTTCTCTGGATATGCTAGAGCCAAGAAGGGTGATAGATGTGTACTACAGGCCCTGATAGGCTCACCCACAGAACAAAACACAAAATGAACTTAGCACTTTAGTCTCTGCTCATGCTGGGTAGCCAGGCAAATGAGCTTGGCTCTAGAACTAGCAGACTAGTTGAAGAGCTAATTTTGCTGCTTACCAGCAGTGTGATTTTGGGCAAGTTACTTAACCTTTATGAGCACATCTCATTCCCTGTAAAATGGACATAGGATCATCTATCTTTTAAATGAGTGTTAAGTGAGCTAACGATTGTGGAGTCAGTCAACATTAGGTAGCTAAAATTCTTAATAAATGGAGAATGCTGAATTGCTCTAGACTGGCCTTGAGTCAGTCATAAAGGGTTCTCCCTGCCTCCTCAGTCTCTGCTTCTTACCATTCCTTCCAATTTGTTATTAAAACCACAAAGAATTCATGCATAATAGAGAGAGGTGTCATGCCTGTAACAGACCATTTTTGCATTACCAGTCAGAATTATTTTAACTGTCTGATTAAAAAATAGGCCATGATGCTTTTATTTCTCAGTTACTGGGAAGAAAGCTTCACCTGCAGCACATTAGCAGAATTTTCCTAAGCCCTTAACCCTTCCTGAAACTGTTGGAGGATACCACACAAACACATTAAGTATAAATACCTATTAGCACTTTATTATACTGGATATGTAGGAGATTGTCTGTATAGCACGCTTAAATTTAAAGGAGTCCAGTTACAAAGTAAATATTATAAGGGATATTTAAAAAATTTCAAACAGAAATGTTTCCTGCTGCCAGTGTTACAGCAGTTAATCTAGTACACTGGCAGTCATCATAGTCACTTACATGTGGAGTACATTCACTGTGATAAATTTTTATTAGAATTCCTGTTTATTCTTTGCTTGATGATAAAGGGAAGTACTAATGACCAGTTTGCATGGCTAATGAATGTTAAAATCTTCAGTTGTAGGAACAATCAATCAGTCTAATCAAATAGTATATTAATTTCAAATACCTTAGCTGACACTGTACTCTGATAGAGCTAATAAATAATTGAACTAGTCTTTCAAAGGAGCTCTCTTTGTAACTCTCAGTTGACTTTAAAGTTTAGCAGCAAAGATTTTCATGAGGGTCCCAAATCTTAGGGCTCATGTAGATATACAGGGATCATGCCATCCAGATGTGTTGGGAGTAGAACCTAAGTGTTGCCTGCAACTCAGACTGGTGTTCCATGACACAGTCACATTCAAATGCTGCCTTTATGGCTTTAGAAATTCAAGCCTAAGAAAGTACAAAACGTATAGCAGCACCTGAAGGAACAAATCTTTTGCTCAATAAAATAGCTGGAGTGAAAAATTTGCATATAATGTAATTTTTCCCCTTAACTCTCTTGTCCTATAAACCTCTTAATTTCTTGTGATTTCTAACATTTTTTGGTAAGTCAATTCCAGGGAATATGTGACAGGATCCATTAGGAAATGAGTCATATTAGACTTTGAATTTTTTCCATATTAAAGAAGTGCTACTTACTCTGCTCTCTCTCACTCCCTTCTTGTTTTGTATTAAATTCTGTCAGCATTTTTTAGTAAAATCTCCATTTCCTCAGGATTTAATTTAAACCAAAAAACATAGCCCTGGGGTAAGAAAGTGGGAAAAATTTCCAAGAGGAAGGACACTGGGATATTTATATAGCTAAGAAAGTTGCCTTTAGAAAAACAAATGCATACACAGAGATGTAACTGATGGGATGATGGAAAATTATTTGGTCAAATGCTGTCTTTGATGATAGCCCAATACAGACAATAATGCTCAAACTAAGTAAGCATCTGCTTCATTGTTGTTTCCCTAGACAAAATGCTTAGAACTTTTTTTTTATTCTTCTTTTTTTTTTTTTTTGCAGTACTAGGGATTTATCCCAGAGGCACTTATCACTGAGCTACAGTCCCCGCCCATCTTATTTTATTTTTAATTTTAGACATGGTCTTGCTAAGTTGCTGAGGCTGGCCTCAAACTTGCAATCCTCCTGCCTCAGCTTCCCAAGAACCTGGTAAAGAGGTATGAGTCTGGTAGAAGGGGCATGAGTCCGATGCCTAGTTCTTGCTTGGTACTTTTTTAAAAAGGTACTAATGATACTGTCTGTGATAAAGTGATGAGTCCAAATGGAGTTGGATTAAAAATCTGAATATCTGAATGAAGTCAGAAGAAGGTGATTAGTAAATGAAATTCCACTGGAATTAATTGTGCAACTCAAATTGAGCAATACATATACTACTTATGGTAACTTTGAGATGATAGTATAGAACTCTATTTTTAGAGTTCTATACTCTATTAAGAAAAATAATAGAGGAATTATTGGGAATAATAATCATTAATATTATTAATAATATCATGAATAATAAATTATAAACTCTAAATTAATTCATGCAAGGATCTGTCATTTATAAACTTGCTTTGGATACAGAATTTTGTTTAAAACCAGGGTATTATATAAATAATCACACACACACACACACACACACAATTCTGCAGATATGTTCAAGAAATAAATAAAATTAATTGGTGCTATTTATTATTTTATTCTTGAAAGCAGGTTATTTCTAGAAATACAACGTATATCAAGAAAGGAACTAAAAGTGGCTAGAGAAATGATAACAATGATGATGATGATGAAAGAACCAAGATTCCAATTGAAGTAAGTGATATACATCTGAATTGGCATCCTCTATAGCTTTATGGCATTAATTGAGTTATATATTCAAGGATTGCGTTTGCAAGAATTTCTTAAAATTTTAGGTTTAAGGGTTGGTGTTTATAAGAAATAAGAAACATATAACCTACAGAGTGGGAATGAAGAAACCTGACATTCTATAAAACAACAACCAACAGATCTGATACAGCAACCTCTGGATGTCTTGGATTTCCTTTAAAAAGTGGTGCTTCTTGAAAGATTTTTCCTAAAAAAAATCTCAAGAAGATTAGGCTGAACTGAATATTTTAGTAAAACTTCTGGCACTGGGTGTAGGCAAAATCTTTAGGAGGTCTTGTGATTTGTATCGTCCCATTTATTCCAGATTCAGGATATTTTGTTCAGCTTTTTCACTGCTGTGACCAAAAGACCTGACAAAAACAACAAAGATGAAGGAAAGTTTATCTGGGTCTCACAGTGTCAGAGGTCCAAGTCCATAGATGGCTGACTCCTTGCTCTAGGCTAAAAGTGAGGCAGAACATCATGACCAAAGGGCATGGCAGAGGGAAGCAGCAGAGGACATAATCATCAGAAAGCAAAGAACTCCACTCACCAGGGACAAATCATAACCCCCAAAGGCACACCCCAGGGACCCAAGACCTCCAGCCCTCCCCACTGTTGATGTGAATTAACACCATCCCATAAGTTCACACCAATGGATCAACATACTGATTAGGTTAAAGCTGCCATAATCCGATCATTTTACCTCTAAACTTTCTTGCATTGTCTTATGCACAAACTTTTGGGGGACACCTCTTATCTAAGCCATAACACAGGATTTAATGAGCAGTACTACATCAAAATCTGGTAGGGGGTATTTATCTGTAGAAAAGAGGAATATGAAAAAAAAGCAAAATTAACTATAACTAATAAAGATATACTTGCTTACTCTATGGTGAAAAGCAGAATACATGGAGATCTGATGCACAATGGAGAAAAATCATATAAAGATCAGATTGAGGAAATCAATCTAAATGAGAAAAATTCCCAAATTCATGTATTCACTCTGCTTTTTTTTTTTAATTCTACAATATTCTTTTTAGCCTCTACCCCAAACCTATACCTAAAGTGTCTGAGCATTGGATGCATAATTAGTTTCCTAAATTGGATTTTACCAAACAAAATCACAAACAACAATCATAAACAGCTAGTCCTCAGAAAGACAGCTTTTAAAAGAATC